TTTTTTGCTGGAGACTTTCAGGTAGACTCTGTTTGTACCCATCTTGTTCTGAATTTTAAGAAAAAAAAAAAGAGAAGTATTTTAATATAAATATGGCTTCATTACAGGCTAAACTCATTTTGTGCCCTTTAGCAGTGAAATTTGATTTTTCATGTTACGTGTTTCATATGTTTGTGATATTTCAGAGACATGGCTGACCCTTGAGTCCTTATGTAACATTTTTACTAATAGTGATGCAAATTGATCTATTTAATGATTTCTCTACAAAATTATTTGCCATAAAGGAGAAGAGAAAACAGTTGGATAATTCCAAAAGTGTTGCATCGCATAATATGCGAGTATATAGTAACATTACATTGTACACGATCTTGTATGTTCAAAACTTAACACAGGAAAACGCATCATTCTGTTCTGTGCTCAGTAGTTTATAAACCAAGTCAAAGCAACTTGTTCACATTTTTTTTCCTAATAGGTTTCAACTTATTTTTCCCTGACCAAATTATAATTAATGTTCTATGTTTTACTCTTCCTTCCTTATCCCTTTTTCTTTTACTTAGTTGATTTCTGAATGTTTCCCCTTATTCCTGTGATCTTTTCTTCATAGCGGCACTGTCTTGGTGAAGCTTTGCATAAATCTATCAGCAATGTAAGTGATTTGCACTTACAGCTTGAAAATAGGGCATGTTTGCACTAATAAATCTGCATATCCTGTAGTACTGCTTTAGAGCTTTAGCTTATGAAATAAATACATGGTAATATTTCAGAGGAGAACGTTTGCTGCTAGTTATGAAAAGCTTGTGTACTGCATCCATTCATCTGTGTAAGTGTATGTATCATTGGACATCAAACATTATGTACATGGCCATAATATAAGCAGCATTTTTATGTGATTGCTAAAGCAAGCAAGCTTGTGGGCAGTGTGAATGTGTATTGCGGAGCTTTCTACAAAGCATGAGATTGATGCTGTATTATAATTTGCAGTTTTGCCGTGCAAGTCATAATTGTAGCTAAAATATTTTTTCTTTCTTTTTTTTTAATTCTTATCAATGTTTTTAATGTGCTGAAAACCTTGGATAAAAGTATTGAAAGTTCAGAGAATAGTGCTTAGAGCTGTTTTCTTTTGAATCTTCAATACAGGAATATATAGAAGGGATGTGCCAAAGACAGGCAAAGGGAGGCACTAATGTTTTCCAAAATGTGCTCTTAACGATACCAGAATATGTACTAAATAATAAAAATAATGATTAAAATTATGTACTCTTCTAAAATAACTGGCAGATTTTTAATAGTTTATGTACTTTCAACAAAAAAGTCTTCTTATGACTGGAAGGGTAGACTAATCTGACTTGCTTCTTGGAATCATTTTAATCCTCATTGTCCTTTATCTTCTGTATGCAAATTGGCATCTCCAGAGATTGACTCATCTAGGCTGTGGTCTTGCAGTCACTTCAATCTGGTGGAAGTGTGAACTGCTTTTGAGAATGGCATTTCTTGTCTCTTGTAAGTTGGCTACCTGGCTGGATGTCAAACTTTTTGTGGTCATCTCGGTTAAAATATTTCCTGCATTTCCAAGAAAGAAATGAAAATTATTTTGCCCCTGGCCCATGCTAAAGATATTTATAAATGGTATACCAAGAATTACCAGAATTTAGAGCAGGAACTTAAGTGAGAGAGAGATTTAACTTCAAGCCATTTTTCATGTAATCGTAATAAACGTTTGGCTAAGATATCATGGCTGACTCCATTTCAATGTTAGCATGAAAGACTTTTTAGCATACGATGATTAAATTGCCTGAGATTCTGCAGGACCGAGCAGGACTTCCCCTAGAAATGTACCTTCTGGTGATCATAGTGAACAGGACAGGGCAATGGTGAGAAATCTGAGGGATGGAAACACAGTGAAAGGGACAAGTAAGAGTGGGCAGAACATCTGTCCAGTATCTGTGTTTCTGGCACAGGAACTCAGGAGAGGAAGAGGAGCATCTGAGTGAAAATTGTGGGATTCCTTCATAGGGGGTTTTGAAGCAGCAATTTGTGTAGTTCACAAAGGAGTGAACTGAATAATCTCCTGAGATTGACGTAACTGCGCATTACTATGGCACTAAAAATGGAGTTAGGAAGAAGAAAAAAGAGCAAAGGAGGGGAGAAGGAGGGAGAGAGATACTGGAGTGTGGGATGGGTTGAAGACAAGGAGTAGAGGAGCTGGAGCCAAGTCACAGCAGTGGTCTCAGGGAAACAAACAAAAAAAACCCCAACAAACCTGAGAGTTTATGGATGGTGATTAAATAGGAGCAGAGATAAACTAAAGAAGCATACAATTTACCTGAAAGCACAGAGGAAAAGTAACCTCCAGACAGGGTCTGGTTTTCACTAGGTGTAGTCTGGCAGAAAAGCAGGGAAAAAAAGGTAAAAAATATAGGAGAAAAGAAGGCCCCAGGTAGGTTTGAGGTTTTAGAAAGGTGGGGATAGAGAGAAAAAGTGAATGTACCTTCTGAGGAAAGTAGAAACCCATTATATGAGAGGGAAGTTTTTGCATAGATCAGTTACTAGTTGAAAGATAGGTATTAAATAGAGTGTTGCCACAGTGGAGGCAGATTATCAGTGGAGTTACAGTGATGTTCAACATATTTTCTTTTGCAGGCTGTTTGTGAATAAGTAAGGTGGAAAAGTTTGCAGCTTATAAAAAGTTATTCAGGTTGGGAAGAACAGGACTGTCTGAAGAATTACAGAATAGCTGTAAGAAGCCAAGGAAAATGGCAATAAAATGGCAGATGAAATTCGGTGTAGATAAATGCAAAGTGGTTCACAAGGGAAGAAACAAATTCTATCTTGTGTAAAATGATGAACTTTACCTTAACCTGTTACAACTAGAGAGTAGGTTTGGAGGCTATGTTTTCCATGAAAACATCATTTCAGTGCTCAGAAGGAGTCACAGAATCAAGTAAAACATTATGAAAGTAGGAGAGAAATGGAGAACATCGCATATAAAACCATATAAACCACTATATAAAACTAGTGTTTACTCTCATTTTACTTCATACTGTTTTGCTCTCCTAATCTTAAAAATAAATAGTAGAAAAGGGGCAAAAGTAGGAGAAATGTGATGATAAATATGAAATAGCTTTCATACAAGGAGTGACTCATTAAGCTAAAACAGTTTAGTATGGAAAAGGGTGTAAGGAGGGAAGTCATGTAGATCTACAGAAACATGAGTAAGTAGCACAGAGTAAATGAAAAGGAAACTTCTTTTTATTCCTTTCCATTGCAAGTATTAGAAGTCATTGTAGCAAACTGGCACATCTACATGGAACTTGCCACAGGTTATTGTGGGTACTAAAAGCTTTTATGGATTCAGATAGTGGCTGTATTTAATTAATATTTCTTCCATGGATTTGCACCAAAATACCTCTTCTAGTTTAAGAATGTTTGCTAGAAGCTGGCAGACTTTGGAGTCGAGACCCCTGCGTTTCTGCCTTGGCCTTGTTTCCCCTGGGTAGCCCAGGTTGGCCATTTCTGGGGGCAGTGTTCTGCCCATTAGACAAACCCTTGGTCTGACACTGTACAATTTGTGTGTGATATTTATATTTCATGTACTTAGTAAAAGGTTTTACATGTATAGTTCAGCTCACAGAATGTAGTATAGGCCTTCGCTACGCTCCTTCAGTTGTAGCTAATCTGTTTCAAAGGTATCTGAAGGAAGTTACAATGAGCCATGCTAATTTCATTCAAATTAATTTGCTTGCTTTGTTTTAGTGCTAATTTTCCTTTTAAGCATAGCTTTTTTTCTTTCAAATCTGCTTAAGCTATGTCCTTCTGAAAAAAAAAGCCACATGTTTGCCAGTGATGTTCATGCTGCAACTTGTCCTTGGTATGCTGCTATTAATTTTTTGTGAAGTGATGGGTTTTAATGTTCTGTAATTCAATAAATTGTTGCGCAATGTCATTATTAATTTATCATAATTGATTTTAAGATATGCTGAATCAAATGACACTATCAGACTTTCATTTATAATTCAATTTTATGTAATGCTCCGAGGCATTTAAAGTATCCTTACTGATTCAAATTCTTTGTCACATGGCAATTTTATTTTTCCCTATTTTGAGTCACTGTAGCAAAATTCTCCTTTGGTTAGATCTTGTTTCCAGAATTGGAGGGTGTCTTTCCCATGTTTGGCTCTGAAGGGAATACAGATTTAGTATTTTCAATCTGAAAAGATGCTATCTGATCTGAAGAACAAAGTATAACATTACAAAAAGAAATTGGGACTTCTTCAAGGAGTACGGTGTACTCTAATGTATTAAAATGCATGCTGGGTGAAAAGCATGGTTTGTAAAATCAGGTATTTCTAAGAAAATTAGTATTTGTAACTCAAATTGCTTAGATATTGAAAAGCAGGAGAAAAATCACTCTTGTAGTATTACTGAGCTAATAAAAACACGTGTGTGGGGGGAATCCATTGAGTATAACACTAATTCATGAAGTACTATGCTACCATTCCTTATTGAAAAAGAAAACTACCAGTAAGATAGTACCATATCATATCCAAAGAGACAAACATCAATCAGTCTAGATGTCGCAGGCTGCCCTCTCTTATCAACTGCAGAAGTTTCCTGGGAAGAATTGACGTGATGTTCCCCTGAAGAAATGTTTATCTTAACAATCGAGTGTTTGATTTCAGACCTTGATAGTGTCATTTTTATTGATCTTTACACAAAAACTAGAAGTAAATGTTGATAATTCAGACATGAGAAACTATGTTATCGGTAATGCCGTAGTATGAACTGACAGATGTGATAATCCTTACAAAACTATTTAAATGCAATTATATCTGAGATATACTCTTAACAACAAATTCAGGAGATGGATGACATTGCTTGTCTCTCTTTTAGTTAAGATTCTGGCTTTAAAATTTCAAGTGTTCTCTTCTCTTGAATGTTTATTTCAGAGTTGATGTTAGTATTAATGACTAATGGATATTTGCTGTTCTGTTGTGGGTCAGATCTCCTTACTGAAGCAGAACCTGGAGATGCAGCTTTCCCAGTCCCAGAGCTCTTTGCAGCAGCTACAAGCCCAGTTCAGTCAGGAGCGACAGAGGCTGACTCAGGAGATCCAAGAATTAGAAGAGGAGCATCAGCAAAGGCATAAATCGCTTCAGGAAGCCCATATCCTTGCCTTTCAAAACATGGAAGAAACAAAAGAGCAAGAACAAAAGGCATGTTCGTATGGATATTCTGAATTATGTAGGGAATGTTGCCATTTTAGCAATTTATGTACACAGTTGGAATTAGTAAAGAAAAGTATCTGCATAACTACTAAATTTCCTTTTCAGATTATGTCTTATACTAGCACTTTAATCCAGTTAAATCTGATTAATACAAATTGAAAATAATCTTATTACTGGCCTTGTTTTGTGTCTTGCTTTATAGTCTGCTGGTATATGCATATACAGAGAGATGCGTGTGTGTGTGTGTATGTGTGTATATATATATATATATAGGTACAGGTATGTGTGTGTGTGTGTATGTATATATATATATATATAGGTACACATTCCTTTATGGTAATTTGACATTGTTATCTATAACATTATATTCTGGTTTTGATTTGGAATAGGTTTCTCTGTAATTTTTCATTACAGTTACCTAATTTTGTGTGTATTTTCTGGAATTTCATGTCAACAGACTCCTTTTGTAATGTATTTTATATTTTCATTATGTTAAAAATTGTATAAACTGTGTTCTGGAACTTGCAAGATAGTTTTCATGTCCAGAACAACATCACACAAGATTTTTTTTTAATTAAAACTGAAATTTTGGCAGTGCATGGTAGTGAATAGGGTGTGTGTCTTAAGATTTTTTAAGTTCAGGTCTCGAGTGTAGCTTTGCAGTCAATTTCCCTGCTTCCCCACTTAATGTACTTTGGGTCACATCATAGTCTGGTCTTGGAGCACACAAGGTGGATGCCTTTTGTTTGAAATGAAACTAGGAGATGTGCATCAGCAACATTACACTTCACACCCTTCAATAGGGAGTAAAAATGGGTGTCAGTGGGGAATAAATATTCCCAAATGTGTAATGCGTGCACACGAGACCCATCTGTGGATCTGCATCTTATTACATTGCTTGCTATTGTAAATATATTCATAAATTGGGGTTTTTTTCTTTTTTTCCAACTGTGAGCAGAACAGGGATTTTGTGCACAGATAATCAGCCACTGAAAAGAAAAAATGTATTAGCAGAATAACTTAGTGAGAGAAGAAAATATGAGCAATATTAGTGCATTTTTAATAATTTCTAGAATATGCTAGTGCCTGCTTTTTGTTGCTAGTTTTTTGTTTAATATTTTATAAATTCCCTAAGTTGGTATAGAAAAAATTTTGTCAATTTGGGTTTCATAGGAATTAGAAGAACGTTTACAGCAGAAGCACTCAGAAGAACTTCATGCACTGAAAGAAACACATAAACAAGCCATGGAAGGGTTCAAATTGGAGATGGAGCAGGAACTTCAGACACTACGATTTGAGCTGGAGGATGAAGGAAAAGCTATGTTAGGTACACTGCTTTTGAATTTCCGAGTGGGTCCAAAAGCATTCTTTCTACTCATACAAATACCTGTGTGTACATGTGTATGTATTGTAACACTGTAGTGTATCGCAGAGTCATTCAGTGTTGACTTAGTGGGTGTTCTTAAAACCAGTATAAGCTTCAACAGGTAAGCCCAAACTGTTCACTTGTGAAATATCTTGCCCTTAAATTGTTTTGGAAGGAGTAAGCGACCAAATGTCATGATGGTAACAGGAACAGAATGACAGGACAGCTGCTCAGCTGCTGTAAACTGTGTGTGTTAGGTCAGCAGCAATACTTGAGGGAGCTGGACTGTTACTGTTAATTAATGTAAACATTTGCAAAATAACCTTTTCTTTTTGTTCACCATAACTAGCTTCCTTGCGCTCAGAGCTAAATCATCAACACGCAGCAGCAATTGACCAGCTGAGGCACAACCATCAACAAGAATTGGTAGCTGCCAAAATGGAGCTTGAAAGAAGCATAGAACTCGGCAGGCGACAGGTAGGCAGCACTGCTGGCAGCTGACTGTAAAATGGCATAATTGGGATTTGCTTTCTCTGAGCTGGAGGCCAGGACTGTTGCGAGCAAACAACAAATGTAATCCTTCATAGTCAGCCGGCCCCAGCAGATAATGCATCCCTGCCAGTTGTCTTAAACTTCCTTGCCTAGGTTTTTCTTCCTTCAACAAACTTAATTCGTAGCCTAGTAAAGGCTCCTGTATCAAGGTAGTTTCCTCTCAGAATTGTGTAGCTGTCTCCTGGAAATGAGAGGACCAGAAAATGACTGGCCTATGCAATAGGCTTTTCAGGATTGATTTACTGATAGTCCAGTATCGAGGAGGTGGAGTGGTTTTAGAAATATATTAACAGGAAACAGGTTTAGTTGTTCACTTTTACACAAAAACAGACACAGTAAAAAATGAACCCTTCTTTTTCTCTTCCTTGCGGGTTTAAAAGTGTGAGCACTAGAGGCAAAAATGTGGTGGTGTCAGCAGTGAACAAAAACATGCAGTACTTGGGAGGATGTAGTTTCAGTCATGTATTGCTTAAGCCTAGAGTGAGACAGCTAGAGGAAATGTCAGAAGACAAAAGTTTAAAGTACAAGAGCAAGAGTTTGATCCAGCCAAGTACCATGTCCTTTTGGCCTCAGTACAGCTATCTGCTAAGCACGAGCTTTAGTTGTACCCAGGTCAAAGCAATGAACTGTGTTTTCCTGTATTAGATAGCTCATCAGCTCACAGGATCAGAGCTGAACTAGATGCAGAAAGGTCTGAGCAGGATGATTGTATTTCCTACATTTTGAAATATTTAAATATGTGGATATAAATTTTCCACTGCTTTTTCTTGTAACTTTACTATATTCTTTCTATAAGGAGACAGAGATTTATTTTTAAAGATCCGTCCTTAAAGATGTCCTGTAAAATCTGTGCATTAGTGTATTTGTATTTCCTGGATGCATGAAGGCACAAAACACAGTTATACATAAAACTACTTTGAAAAATCTGGTGATTTTCCATCTCTGAAAACTATATGGTCAGTAATTACTGTGAAACTGTAAGAAGTAGAATAGATGGAAATGGAAAACTCAGAAAAAGGTTGATTTTCATTACAGACTTCTAAACTGAGGAGAATCCTTATCAAAACCTCTGGGTTGCATTCCAGATGAGTTTTCTAGACGTTACCTTTATAGGAATTTCTTATGCAAAAATAATTTATTATATTGATTTATTGGACAGAATATAAACATTATATAAACTATTTAGCACGTATTCTGCTGCGAGGTATTTATGACCCTTGTATATAGGTAGGATAGAAGACTTCTGAATCACAGTGTTCGTTGGTGCAGGGCATACATCTTGAGCTATTTCATCCCATTGTATGGGGCTGTAAAGGAAACTTCTCCATTAAATACATTGAAGAGGTAGAAAATGCTAAATGCCCAGCCCCCTGGTTCTTAGCACTATCTGTTTTTTGATGTGAGCAAAAGGAAAATGTGATGAGGTACACAAACTTTAACAGGCGGTGACAGGCTTTAAATATTCTTGCAAATGGAAATTGTTTGTTAAGTAACTTTGATTTCTTCTTTATTTGTACTTGTATGCAATTAAAAAACAGCTCATTTTTAATTATACTGTGTCAGCATCAAAAACTGAAAAAATTCTGTTCCAATAGACGAAATTCTGCTCAGGCACTGTCTTCCAAAAGCAAGTATTATGCTTCTGAGAGACAAGTCTCAAGTATTTTTTTGCTGCTGCTACTTATATCACAGGAGAAAGAATTTTTGTGCCGAATATCAGATCTACAAGATGAACTGAGGCACCGAGATCATCATATAGCTGAACTGGACAAAGAGATTCTGCATCTTCATGAAAACATAAGTGCATTGACCAAGGAATTAGAGTTTAAAGGGAAAGAAGTTCTTAGAATACGCAGTGAATCCAACCAACAGATCAGGTATGAATTTTTCCACTCTAAACTCAAATATGTATTATTTCATGTATTGTTTTACTTAAGAAATTTTACCATTTGCAGCTTTTAATTTATGGTCTTAATCAAGTGATGTTTTATATCATTTAGTCTACTTTAGAAAAAGCTATGCCCATTACTAGTAAAGTTAGTGAATGTTACCATACAGATAAGCTGTATTTCAGTGATACATTTTGGCATATTGTAGTAACAGTTCGCTCAAGTGTTGTTGTTTTGTTTTGTTTTTTTAATTCATTATGTTTGTTTATTTAAAAAAGCATTAAAGGAGATGCATTTTTCCATGAAATAAGCTAGAAGATTAAAGGACAGTAAGTAGTGGGTTTTAATGAATCAGTAATTCTCCCTGTGTTATCTGATATTGTGTAAAAGCCTTCAGAAGCATGGCAGAAAATCATGATGAACAAACGAGTCCAATTTTAGAATAACTCTTTTTTTTAACAAAAAATAAATTAAACAGGATGCATGAGCAAGATTTAAGCAAGAAACATGAGAAAGAGCTGGATGTCTTGACAGCAGATCACATCAGAGAGAAACAAAGCATGCTGGCAGATTTTAATAAGACCCAAGAGCTGCTCAAGGAAATTAATTCAGCTTTACAGATTTCGTAAGTTTTGTTGCATTACCAAAGTTTGTATGTAGCTGCGTTTGAGTGAATAGTTTCTTCTGCTGTCCACAAGTTGCTGAAGATATTGCAGAGATCCAGATGTGCAAAAACCTCAATTAAGTATGGGGCCTGATCTTGCATTCTTTAGGCAACACAATTCTGTAAGACTTGAGGGAATTTAGTGAGATAAATTGTTAAGGATTTGAAACTGAAAAAATTCAAGTAGGAAAGATACTAAATCAGTGAAGCTCTTCGAAAATTGGAGAAAACATTTCAGATGTTTTCCTCAAATATTAATACATCTTTTTTGAGAGCGCAAGAGTTTCTTCAACAAGTTATAAACAGTACTATACTTGCTATTAAGAAGCATGATCATAGCACGAGTGATGCAGTTTCGGGTTTGCCAACATGAGGACAATTGGTGTCTGAAATGGATTAAATGAGCATAACAGTGACAGGATTTTTAGAGTGCCTCTGAGTCAAAACGCCACCTGGGGTCAGACCACCTCTGGGCAGAAGTAATGTGTTGTCTAGCTGGTGTTTTCCTTCCTTCAGCATCCTTCATTCTTTATCTCTGTCTGCAATGTGGGGAACCAGCTAAATTCAGAACATTTTAGGACACTGAAAATCAAGAGGGTTACATCTGGTCAGAGTTTCTGGCTGAGGTTTCATAGCGCATTGAAGGTTTCCTGACACAGTTGTCACTAGGGGATTTGTGTTTGCAGCCCAAAAGATTTATGGCCGAGAATATAATTGCTTCTAAGTATATGATAGAAAACTTTTTAAAGAAAATAACAATTAAAAATGGACAATAAAGCCCAAATGCATCTAATTCTTTCTTGATAATAAGCACTCAGAAATTGTTTTCAATTATATAAATTGAAGTATAAAATTCTAGTTCTTAATCCCTTGTAATCATCCACATGCACACTCTTGCGCCCTCGTAAATGTGGTAACTTGCCATTCAGTAAGTTAGGTGTAAACTACCTCCTCTTTACTGCATTTATCTTGTATGAGAAACATGCCTATGAGCAGAATTGGGCTTTGGAATTGTTTACCCTGACTTTTACCCCCATGGAGTTGTTTGTTTCTCAGTGTCCTGAAACTTTCTGAATTTAGTTGGTTCCCCACTCCTGAGTCTAGAGGTGCGAGAGAGCAGCCATTGGCCTAAAGACCGCAAACGTTATCCAGAGTGCCCTGACCTGGCTTTCTGTGTGTTACCTCTCTCACTTACATAGAAGCAAGGAGCTGTCAAAAGAGAAAACTATGTATAAAACAAAACCAGAACGAAATGTCAGAAGAGTTTTATGTAGCTATTTCTTAAGTAACTGTTTCCAGGTTCTGCCTTACCCAAAGCATAGTCTTCCGAACATTTATGAAATGGAGAATCTATCTTACAGTAATTGAGAGTGGGTATCGCTACTTAGGCTCTACAACTAGTCTTTAAATCATGTATTATCTTTTTTTAAAACAGGACCAAAAAAAGCCAGTTCTCTAAAATATCTGAAAATAAGATGGCAGCTGTGTGTAACTATGTACTATACTCCGGGGATCTGTATACAATAGCTTAACCCAGCATAAAATGTATGCGCACAAATTAAGCCAGCTGAGCATATTTCTGTTCTGCTGAGTCAAATGCCTTTTCTGCAAATAAAAACAGTGATATTGTTCACATTCATAATGTTTTATGTAAATACATTGTATAATCTCCTCAGATTACGTACATGTTGTTGGAAGGTTATAAATATCACTTGTTATGCACTGTTTTTTCAGATGCAACTCAAAGTGAAAATCACAGAGCTGCTTCTGAAGAAGCGTTGTGGTCTTAAGTTTGAGCCGACTTAGACACCTTAAATTCATAGATTTTTCTCAGGGTTTGTTTGGGATTTTTTTTTTATTTTTTTTTCATTAGGTTTGTTAAATTTCCTGAATCTGTTCTGAAACTTGTCTCACGTATACAGCCCTCACATGGATTAGTGAACCAAGTATTTTAGTAGCTTCCTTTGGAACAATGTTTAACATCGTGAGCATTATATTTATGTTTCAGAGAAACAGAGTCATTTGAAACCAAACTTCTTCTTTGAGAAGAAACAAGGAGATTTATGTCGTTATTTGTACAATTCCTCTCTTAGTTGGCTTGTTTCACTTCTCTCCTTTAATGCTTTCCCGCCAGGTATTTCAAATTTCCTCCTATTTTTTCAGATGTTTCTCAACTGTTACATTTCTCTTAATTCAGATATCCTAATATCCAAGTGTTACTGCTTTTCTTTTGCAGCTCATTCCTTTATTTCATCTCTAATGGTACTAAGTTGCTTTTGTGGAGAGGAATTAGCTACCTATTGGTCTTCACTGTTCATGGATGTCTTTGTCCACATGAACTGAGAAGGATGGTGCCAGCCTTATCTGTCTGTCCAGTTTCTCCAGTATCACAAGCATGATAACTTATTCACAAGCTCCTTACTCAGAGTAGTTATCTATAAAAAGACAAATTATAGCTGTTTTCCCCGTCAAGAAAGTGAATTGCCAGGTTTTAAAACTTATGTTAATATTAAATATAAATGCAATGTAGTCCCTATATTTTACATAAGAATCAATCTTAGCTATGTCTTTTGTCATTCTGTCCATATTACATTTTTGAATGCCTTATTTTCAGTCTGGCTTCCAAGAGGCCTTTTTTCAGACACCCAGTACTGCATGCACAAGAACGATGTTAAGTTTTTAGAATTCTGCCCCAATTATTAGCTGTTGGAGCAAAGGTTATGGTAACTGTTGATTTTTATTTTTTTTAACTAACTAAAGCTGAATGATAACACAGAAATTAATTTACTTAAAGGTGATAAGAAAGTCATCTTCTGTTTTTACTCCCTGAACTTCCTTTTGTACTAATCCAAGATGTGACTTTATTGACTCATCATTTAACACTGGAACAGGCTAAAGGGGGTATTCTTCTTTCTTATAAAGTTTAGAAGAAATGGAAGAAAAATATAAAACCAGAGAATCAAGACCAGAAGACTTGCAGCTTATCTCAGAACTGAAAGACCTAATTGCAGAGCGGGACCAACTCATAAAGAAATTGATTGTAAGACTTTTATGCTCTCTTAGTTTAATATCTTGACAGATACAAAGGTTAATCTAATTCAAAGTGTTTGAAATGTATTTAAAGTACCAATCTTTCTAGCATGTTATTCATAAACACATTCTTCCTGTGGTTCCAATGACTCATAATAGTAAAACTAATTAGATACAGAGTCTTTTGCACAATCAAGTATAATACATTATTACAACAAATATTTCACTGTGACCTCGATCAGGCATCTCCTGTCTCCAGTCCTGGACTAAGCCAGCTGTTCTGTGAGGTTTCTAAGATCAATTTCCTGATCCACTGAGCTTCCCAAATTCAGAGCACAAGTCTCTGACTTAGGTTAGTCTGATTAGATCCTTATTCGGAAGCAAGAAGGAATGAGGGAATTCAAACTAATTAGAGATCAGAAGTTAACTCTACTGAGTCTTTCCTAGTGCATAATTCATTAGGCTATGCTCATTCTCAGGAGCACAGAACTGCATAAATAGAAATTATTTAGTATTTGCATATAGTAGTATATAAAACGTATTAAATATGAAGTGCAACTTTTGGAATTAGCAGCTTCTTTAAAAACATAAACATAAATTTACTTGAGGTCATTTTACTGGCAGATTTGGCCACTAACTGATCGAAAATGCATAAAAAGAAGTTTCTATTTGTTCTTCTTTTTAGGAGGACAAAAAGTTCTATCAGCTGGAGCTAGTTAACAGGGAGACTAACTACAGCAAAATGTTTAATGCAAGCCCTAATGTTGGTGTTATTAATCCATTGGTGAAGGTATGTTCCATGGACTTCATTGCTAAAGCGAAGAAAAAGAAATCTAAACTTAGGATATAGTAAAAAGAAATGTGTGTGTGTGTGTGTGTGTGCCTGCATGTATACATAAACCACCCTTAAAAGACATGGTCAAAACAAAGAACATAGTTTTCTATTTGTCTCTACTTATTTTTGTGTAGGTTTGTTTCTTTTGTGTTGTTGAGAGATCCACGATGTTGTTGCCTTAGGTTGCTAGACATGTGTGACACAAAACACAGTTCCTTCTCACAAAACTGCAACATCAGAATAGAAAAGTGACAGAAAGGCAACAGAAGGCAGGACTGTAGCGTACAACAGAGGACACTGACAGCCATAACCAGTTGTAGATTCATAATTTTTATTGGTTGTTTTGGTAAGGGCAAGGGCAATTTCATTTTTCAGGTGATGCTCAGGATGGAAGAGCATTAGAAAGACAGAGGGAGAGGGGACACTAAAGGAAGGGAATAAAGTGAAAACCAGCAGGAAAAGGGAATGAGAAGGGCATGGAATGAGTCTGAATGAAGAGAGACAGAGTAATACCAGAGAACTGGGGTGACAAACCAGGTATGGACTGTGAGGGCAGCAGGAGACAGAAGTCAGTCTCTGGCCTTCTCAGTTATTGTCACCTCCTATGTGAGCAAAACTGCTTCAGTAGCAGCCTTTTCCAGTTGTCTCCATTTGCTGAATAGCAAAGTGAAGGCTGCTGTACAAGCAGGCACAGTGGCCTCCCTGCCACTTTGCAAGCCAGCCGCATTCCTTCATGAGGAACAGCAGTAGACTGTGGAAGGGTACCTTAATCCTATTTCTGTTCACCACTTCAGCAGTAAGAATGAGTCCTCTGACTTTTTCTCCCTCCCTGTGATAACCCATAGGTTATTTCACCTGCATGGAAAGAGAAGAGCTTTGTTCTGAAGCCAAGGGTAACCCCAGGGGCACAACATGAGCAGCTCCAATGCCCAAGAGCTTCAGTGACCAAGGCTTGGGGCCTGTTATTTAAAAGGAGGTCTGGCTCCATTATTTGAGATCAGGCTGTGTTGTTTAGCTAAGCCTTACTATAGTTTCACATCAGATCAGCGTATTTGCCTCTTCTGCACAAACTCTGCTGCAGATTGTCAATATTCTGCATTTTTCAGGAGCCCACCAGCTCTCACAAACTTATCTGCAGCTGCCTAACTTTTATGCATAAAAGAACTTTGGGCCCAGCAGAGCCAACACCAGTAGTGCCAGATACAATTGGAATGCTGTGTTTCTGTGTAATAAAGGTTGTTTGAAAATTCTGGAAGTTTGTCTGAATCATTCGTTTATAAAGATGTGAAATGTAACCATCAAGTGTATAAGCCTGTGTTTTGTGTGAAATCTGAAGTGTTTGGGGAAAGTACTTCAACATCAGATTTCTGTAGTGATAATTCATATATTTTTATAATATGCTTCTATCACTTAAAACTGTTTAGACTTTAAAACCGTCTTGTATGGCAGAACATTTTGATCTCTCATTTCATGAGTTGTGGACTGTTACTTTATTTTGTCGAAGCACGTAGTGTGTTATTGGAGAATGAATTACAGAGAAACTAAAAATCTCATTCTCTTTTTTGTAATAAACAGACAATTTATGAGTTACTACAGGCTTTGCATATTAATGCAAAATTACAGCCATTGCAGTAGGTATTACAGTTTCTCTACGTTATGCAATGGATCTGTTTGGTATTACATTGTTATAGCTGACGTTTCTCAATACTTTGCATGAATTTCATGGAAACAATACACACAATTTTGTCGCTCCAGATTTAGCTGCTTCAGAAGCCTAGATTCTTCTACAGAGAATAAGATACAAGCTGTGGTATTTTTCTAAGCACCTATGTGGATAATACACATTTTCCAGAAATGAGCCACCTATGAAGGACAGAGATTTAACTACACTCTGTTTAACGCACATTTGTAATTACAGTATCTATTACCTTGCAGATGTATTTTACGTACAGTTGGTTACTTTTACCTGTTTTTTCTACCATAATGTTGTTTCTTGCTTCTTCAGCTACTTCAGAAGAATTAAAGTGTATGGGACAATCTTAGATTAATCCTTTGCAGCTAATGCTCTTTCACTGTGATGTTTAAAAAATATTTCTTTCTATTATAGCTTTTGGTTGCATTGTTGGGGGGGTTTTAATTGTAATTTGACAAACACATCCACCAGTGTGGGTACAATTAGTAGCATTTGCATCTGCCAGCCCTGGAGAGGTCGGGCACTGCAATACAAGCTAGCAGAAAGCGAAACAGAGGAAAGTACAACAAACAATAGGGCTCTGTCTGTGTTTGAACTCCTGCCCACCCTTGAATAGAGCAGCTCTTCTCTTTCAAGTGGAATTCTGCTGGGAAATACTATAGAGAAACAACATGAGATTCCACTTTATTTAGTTCAAACTTACGTAGTTCATAAGCCCTCAAGGGGTTTTTCTCCTAGCCGCTTTGTTAGGGTTGCATATATGTAATTGAATGAAAGTATTTATGTTTTCAAATAATACATAATTCATGAGAATAAACTAATCCATTCATTCAAAAATCCTATTTTTAGAAGTAAGGCTTTTTTAATATTAATATTTTACTATGGACATGGAATATTTGATACAAGTCAGAAAATACACATAGCATCATGTCACACAGTTATTTTTAAAAAGGCATAGAATTATTTGGACCATTCTTCTACATTAAAATAGCTATAAAAGTAGAGAGGATAAATACTGATTCCTTTGTATGATGTGATATAGTGATATAAGAATAAAATTCTTCAGGATTTTGAGTCCCTTGAGTTACTCAGGAGACACATAGAGAGTATTAAGAAAAAATAATGTTCACTTCTGCCACCTGGTGCCTAGAAGTGGAAGCTGTATCAGCCTTGGAAGCCTGGCCTTTTCCCCGTGCAAGGAACTGAACTCTGCAGTAACCTTTTTCTCTTTAGCAGTTTTCCTCTAATGCTTGCTAACCATGAGGGCGTAAGTGCTTTAAAGAAATGTAGCTGCTTTTCTGGGTTCCATGTTCCAGTTACCAAAATGTGCCTCAGTGAAGGGGTGAAACCTGTTGGAGAGATTCACTTTTTTTGTCATTGAAATTTGCTGTAATTGCATTTGACAGCAGAGCTGTGTCACTGATATGAGAAAAGATTTAAGTAAACATGAAACGTTTAACAGACTAAATGACAATTTTGTGGGAAACATCTATCTTCAATGCCTTAAACAGAGCAAAATGTTACATTGGAAGATCTCATGTAACGTATTTATTGACTTACACTAAGAATTAATAACTTAATCATCTTGATCAGAAATTTGTTTTTTCTGTGAAAATCTGTGGTGTTCAGTTCTGGTCAAAGCAAATAGTAAAACTACAGTGGGGGAAAAAAGCCCATTCTGTCCCAATTGCTCTCCTTCAAAAAAAACCCCCAAACCAGCCAGCAATACAACTTTTAAATCTGTAAATTTCCTCATCTGTCCTGGTGCAAGAAGCCTTCCTTACATTTGTTATTTTTAATGCAGCAAAAGAAGAAGAACGATAAATCAACAAACAGGTTTGTGAGTGTCCCCAATCTAAGTGCTCTGGAGTCTAGCGGAGTGGTGGGCAATGGACATCCCAACCGCCTGGAGCCCATTCCCAACTCACCCATCCACGATATTGAGTTCAACAGCAGCAAGCCAGTGCCACCCAAAGAGCCCAAGACGTTTTTGAGGTGAGCACTGCCTCACCAATCCTTTTTTCTTTTTTTTTTCCTTTTTTTTTTTTTGCTTAACTCAGGAAAATTTTGCATTCTTATTGAGCTGAATCCCACTTGCTTTATGAACCTCTCAGAGGTACCAGTACGCTGACGACATTTTTAATTTTTACACTATATTTGTAACCTCTTTATAGTATTCCTTTTTATTGTAGGCCTCGTTGAAATGTGGAGTATTCTCTCACTTTTTCATAAGTCTTGAGCTTTGAAAACCTCTTTAGATACTTTACAGTATCCAATTGTTTACATAAATGAACAATTGTTTTAAATGTTTGTGTTATTTTACTGATTGTCATTTAGGAACTGATACTAGCACAGAATTTGTTTTATTTGGAATTACATGATGATGGTTTTTATGTAGGAAAACTCTTTTCTGTGCTACACGAACGTTTTGTGTTTCCCCTTTCCTCACCTCTATCAAATTGTTTCCTAGGAGTCACTTACTACAGCAACAGGAAATATGCGTGCTTGGATGCTTAATGCTGAGCTTCCAGTAATCAAACCCAGCATTAAGTCTCAAGTAATTCTTTCACAAAATCATGTAGTTAATTGATTAACTTAAAAATAGCATTTCAGAGGCAGGATTTTAAACTTTTGGCTTTGTGTGTCTACATATTAAAGGCACCGAAGTACTGTACTCTCTACTTAGTAGGTGCTAATCTCTTACCTCCAAGTTGGCAACTAAAAGCCATGTGTGATTACTGGTTCCACAGTTGTTTACTCCTTCTTTTGGTTTAATGTGAAAGACCGCATACCCAGCAACTACTAATTATAAAAGGAAACAAATAATAGAATCTAAAACAGATAAGGGAAAACAGCCTGTTTAAAGAAAGCAGTCTTTTTTAAACAAAAATATAGTTGCTTATTTTTTCCTGTGCATGTGATGTGCATGACCATGCTCAGACATCTATAATACGCATGTGCATGAACTCACGGACTGTGATGCTGGAGTCTCCATCCCAAATTGTTTTGTGCTCTGTATTACCCAGTATTATAGTAGAGGTTATTTTATTGATGGTTTTCACTGATAAAGGAACTTAATTATGTTATTAAATTTAAATCAGTCTCTCTTGCTCATTTTGTGAGAACTTTTAAGTATTCAAGGGGGAACCAAATCCTGTTTGCAGCAGTTTCTTTTTTCCAAGAATATTAGGGTAATTTAAATGTGTGCATGAACAACAATGCAAGCGATATTTGTGATCGGTGTTAAGTAATAAAATAGTGTGTAATTTTGTTCAGTTGCCAACCAGTCTTTGTGAGCACATGTCTGCAAATATGATGCTCGCATCATATTTTTGTAAATTAACTTTACCACAGGAAAAGGATGCTAAAAGAGGACCTTCTACAGTCACGCTTTTCCAAGAAAACTCTTTTTATTCTTCCTGAAAACCTACAGTGGTTTATGAGATTTTAAATTACGTTTTCCAAAATACTATTTGCCCACACTGTAATGTGGCTTCTGAACTGACTTGTCCGTGCTGCTGATGCTCTCCAATGGAGTGGATGATCACAGATTTTATAGGGAGATGTTAAATCATGTCCTGAGGCACACTGATAATTAATCCATGGAAGAACCGGCTGTGTTCTTTACTGAATATTCTCTGTGATTTGTTTTTCTCCTAACATTTGTACTTTTTGTGTAGTTGTGGGATAACTGTGGTGTTGTGTTTTTCTTTCGGTGAATTTAGCCCTCCTCAGAGTGACGCTTCGCCGGTGGCTTCACCAGACCCACAGCGCCAGGAGTGGCTCGCCCGGTACTTCACGTTCTGAGGGACGGTTCGTTGTTGTGGCACAGCGTGATGTGGACTGTTCATAAGAGCATGACCTTAATTAAACCCTCCTGTGAACGAGCTTTCCTGTAATTTGTCAAACACTGTGAATGAGAAAGTCTTTGTCTTTCTGATTTGAAACTGCACTGTATTTCATGTTATATTTCTTGGAATCACTTGACATGGTACTATATAATGTGTGTAATTATAACTATTATTTTTATTTAAAATGGAAGAATCTTTAAACTTTGTAATTACTACATAATAAATTTTGGTAGAACAAACATAATGCTTTCCCCCTTTTTCCTATAAGTGTGTTTTCTTTGATTTCAGGTAAGGCTTTTCCCCAAAAAAATAACATAATTGCATGGTTACTATAAATACAATTTAAATTGCAACAGGAAGAAGTACATATATATCTCACTCTCACTCCAATTTGGGCAGGATATGTTTAGTGCATCCTAATTCTATTCTGATACTTTGCAGTATTTTAAAAACCTGTCTCTTTCTAACGTTTAAAAGCAAGAACGTGAAATTAATCGAGTGTAGCTGCAAGCCTTCAGAACAGTGATTTTCCCAAGGGCATGAAATGCCACAAACCAGGAGCTTTTCATGGGATGGGAAGCGAGGGAGTTGACTCCTGACCTGTTGCTTGTGAGGCTTTGCCATCTAATAAGCAAAGATTTTATCATTGAATTCAAGCAGAAACTGTTCCCACAAGTTACTTTTTTCTTTTATGACTATTAACAAACATTTAGAATACTGTATTAAGTATCTCTGCATAAATCAAGAATCTACATGATGAGCATAGAGTCCTGCTTTGGATAAAATTCATGTCTGAAATGAAAAAAACAAACAAACCCAACTTTTTCCCAATTTATACATACTACAGATACAGATCTTTCATTAATACTTAATTACCTTCCCTTGTCTATATATTAAACTTTTTTCTTCTGCTTAAACTGATACATGAAAATGTTTTTTCAGCTAGTGAGCATGATTCTCCAGTCTACACCTTTTATGCCAGTGTTGCTCGAGAAATTTGCTGCAGCATATAGAAAACTAGAGCTTACTGTCTTTTTTAATGTTTTTTCATTCAAAGATTACCACAAAGTTACTCACACTGGTAGTCTCAGGGAGAAAATTGTCTCTTTGTTTTATGAATGTATTTTTAAGCTGAATCTCTTCTCTTTTAAAAGCAGGAAGTAAATGTTTGTGTTATTTGAATAAGTTTTCAGTTAGCATATATAAAGGTCTTGGAATTTAATATTTCATCTGAAGCCCTAACTACATCCTTTTTTCGCTATATGCACAAAGATAAATATCCAGATGAAGATACTTGCTAATTACAATGAGTTTTATATGGAATATATGTATAAATGAAAAATTTGTATGTTTTCATATAAACAATATAAAATCTTCTAAATGAACATTTTAAAACTTCTATCTTATAATTCCTCTTGAAAACTCCACTGAAAGCTGTAATCTGGTGATGCTGCCATGGATTAAAGATGTACACAGCAGATTTTCTGTAGCTGGTGCACTCAACTGTAGGTATATGCAACTTTTTAATTTTAGAAGAAAGCCATATTGGGCAAAATGTCAGATTTCTTGGCTGTTACCCAAAATAAAATACACTAGCTCATTTTGTTACAACGTTCCGAAGTGAGTGTCGTGTATTTTTTCTTGTGTGCTTTGCAAGGGCTCAGCCTTTCCTTCCCATCCTGCATTTCCTTTATACATTTTTATACATGGATTTAATAACTGAACAGTCATTGGAAAATGATAATATCTGCATTTACCTAGTCAGAAGAAGACGTGCCCATTGGTTTTTTGCTAGTAGGCATTTGTTTTGCAGAAGGGAGGAGAAACTAGGAAAAAAATGACTTTCTACCAAATGGCATTGAGAGGTCTATAAGATGTATTCCTGAAGTGAATTATCTGGCATTTGGGATTAATACAGGAACTTGCATTGTCAGAATGCCGCTGTGTTTCTGACCTTAGCAGCATTTGGTGTTCTGGAAAAAGCTAAAAGTGCTCATATTTGCGAGTCCCGTTGTGCAGAGTTCTGCTAAGTCTGCTCACACATGCCTGCAGTCTTCCCTCGCTCAGCAGACAGCTCCCAGTAAGGAGGAAGAGTAAGTGGGAAGCTGTGTATTGGTATTTACCATGGTGGGAAAATCTTTTGGCTCTCGGGAGCTCTCTCTCTGCACTCTGACACGTTAAACCTCATTATTAGCAATTAATGTAACTCATTCCCCTGACCCTTTAGTTTGGTTCTGAAAGAGCGATAAAATGTCAAAGAGCAAACAACAGAGAATGTAATATTTTAGTTCTCACTGTATTTTCTTCTGGAAAAAGGAAGTAACAGGCTGTACGTGATACAGGGACAAAACAGAAGAATCCTGCATTTCATCATTGTAATTATCACTCTTAAGGCCAAGTTCAGCCCTTCAGGCTCCATTTACCTCTGCAATAAGCACTTGAAGGGCAGTGAATTTTCCAGGTTACTGAAAAGTGCTCCAGCTGACCCACCTGACATCAGCTCATGGCACAGGGAAGGATTCTGTCCCGAGAGCTGCACGGCTTTTTCTCTGCAGCAGAAATCGTACCCAGAAGGTACACTTGGGGGG